CAAAAAAATGTCCTTCATTTAAAGCTGCAGTCCGTAACTTTTTTGTGTTCAAAATTTACTAAATGTATCTAATAAGCGATTACACCATGAATCCATTTTCCAAACTGTGTTTTTGGCTTGTCCTGAATCACTACGGTACACCTATAATAAGTGTTTATATTCAGAGTATTTAGACTGGTTCGGGTAGGTACCACTGCGGAGTAGCCCAGTACCTGCGTGATTCGCCATAGACATAAACAGAGAGAAGTAGCTCCGGCTACAATGTTCTTCCGCAAAACGCACGCAGTTCTGTTTATTAACCGCTAGAGCGCCAAAAGTTACGGACTGCAGCTTTAAAATGTCATATGTTTTACTTAAATATATAAGGATTACAAAGCTGGTCCAGTCCTATATCAGCTTTGGCCTAAAGTATATGAAAACAATAGCACATTTCTGATTAACCTGAAGTCACAAACCAGCCTAACATGACAGTCCCTGGTATGGTTAAGCACTCACAAACAGTAGTAATGAGTCAAAGTCTAACTCCTTCCCATCTGAAACTATTAGCAGGATAAACAAGACATTAAGACACAAAGAACAAGAAATGAATCAATTCAGGTTAACCAAATCTGGCATTATAAACAAACTGAGGAGCAGAGAAAGCAAACAAGCCTTTCTAATGCTATTAACTCATCTTCTTTCTCTTCCCTATCAGGGGTGTACTTAAAAGATCATATAATTCAGTATTTAGAGCCTTTTAAAAACTACGACCTTATATTTACACACACAAAAAATTCAACCTGAACATAGGTGTGGTGACAAATTCTCACACAAGACCTGATACTCATTTGGAAACATCTGTCTCAAATTTGCAAGAAGTATGAGGCAAAAGAATTCATATTAAAATAAATTTACTCAATATTTTAAATAAAATAAAGATTCTCATTGAACACAAAGTGACAATGACTTCTATCAATTCCAACCCTCATGAGCATTTGTAATTACAGTACTAGTTTGTGATTTCATATAAATTTGTACCATCTGACATGCACAAAAACATACTGTAGGTAAAATGTCACCATGAAGGTCCACCCCTAAACCCACTCCTAAATCTAACTCTAATGGAGTGTAAGTTGATCATTAAAAAATGTTAAAATGAGATTGTATGCATTCATACATATTCTCAAACAGTTCAGCAAATTGTAAAATGTTTAAGATTGGCATGAGACTGTCTTAAGTCATACATCCTGTTACATGGTATTGTCTTAAGAGCAGGACATCCAAAGAAGAGCTCTCCCTGTGGGAGCCTTTATTCGCCTTCACTGGTGACTCGTGTTATTTGCAGCATTTGTAGTACCACTGAACACAACCCTCTTCTATTAGACAGTGGATGGTAACATACCAGTTTACACTATACATATATACAATATTAATTAACTACATGTACTTACTATATGGTTAGTTTTAGGATTAGGGTTTGGCTTAGGGTTACTTCCTTGCATGCAATTATGCATAATTAATTGTTATTATAATAGTACGTACATGTAACGTGTAACAAGGACACATTAAAATAAAGTGTTACCGTATAACTTGGTATAACCTGTTGTATAACAGCAAAAAAAGTAGAGCAAAATGGTCAGTTTGCTCATGTATACTGCACTTCTCCATGAATATATACACTACCATTCAAAAGTTTGGGCTTGGGAAGATTTATGCTTCTGAAGAAAAATGTTATGCTCATTTATTTGCTGAAAACAGCAATATTGTGAAATGTAAAATATATATATATATTTTTTATTTAAAGCTGAATTTTCAACATCAATACTCTTGTCTTCAGTGTTAGCCTACATGATCCTTCAGAAATCATTCTAATATGCTGACTTGGTGCTCAATGCATTTCTTATTATTATTAATGTTAAAAACAGTTGTTCTGCTTTATATTTTGACTTTTTTTCTGGATACTTTGATGAATAGAAAGCTCTGAAGAACAACATGTATTTGAAATATAAATCTTTTGTAACATTGTTATTAATGTCCTTACTATCACTTTTGATCCATTTAATGCATTCTTGCTGAATAAAAGCATATTTCTTGAAAATAAACCTATATATCTATGCACTAGGGGGTTTCTGCTGTAGGGGTGTCGGTGGGCGCAGATGGTAACGTACGTTAAAGCAGATCTATCACGTCTGACAGAACTTCGGACCTTAAGGAAAACTGCATTCTCTTCACCTCAAATCATTACACCAACATAACACCATGTGCTTGTCCCATAACATTCACACCAGCCTTTTGTCTTGCGGACCCAATCCATAGTTCATTCTGAGTGCAGCCTTTCAAACTCACATTTAGCATTCAATGGCTGCTATTAGATAGATATACGTGTTCTTCAGAATCAATAATCGCGTAACAGCTTCTAACTTTCATCAATAAGTCATTAACAAACATACTTAGCGTCAGTGCTTAACAAATCCTGAAATATCGACATATGTATATGATATGAATCAAGTTTTATGTTCATTATTAACTGATGAGCTGCTATATGTTTGTTATTGACTTGTTCATAAAAGTATAAACACTAAAGTAGGCAACAAATACGAGATTGAGCCTTTAAACTTACGTATTTTAATGGTTTTGGGATCAAACTTGTACACGGTGAGCTGTAATCTCTCCAAACGCACTTGAATAGTTGATGTCCTTCGCGTGATCAACACAGCCTGAGTCTCAATTCCCAGGAATATGTCACTGGCATGCCGCGATAGATCGGACAGTTGATGTAGGATGCTGGTGAGCGTATGACAACACACTTCTTCCAAAGAAGAGAACAAAACAGGTTTGCGCACTCTGCGACCGTCCGGCGTCGTGAAGCTCTTCTCGGAGCCAGCGCTCCCTCTCAACCTGCTCACCAGCTCAGGCTCAACGGTTCTCTCGGGGAACGGCATTTTAAATCGTGTTTAAATTTGAGACGAGCATCGGGTTGAGGGGAGTTAAAATCCAAACGATGTATCCCAGAAGTTGCCGTGAGAAGAAGGTCTGCTTACAAAAGGTCCCGCCATAATTTTTTGAAAGATGCAGAAGCAGTTTGGGACGTTTTTGCCGCTGGTGTTCGGGAGCATCGGGGAACATGAGTTTGAAAGCAGCGAGTCGACCCGAAAACGTGAAGAGAAAGTATATGGAAAACACGGAGAGGCTTCCCAACCACCTGTAGGAACTGGAAGTGGATTGGCGAATCCACAGCGCTGTGAGGGAGAGGTTACCTGCCTTTAGCGTCTGCTGCGTGGAAAACTCGGGATGGATACTATGGTTCTCACGGACTTCGAGGCTTTTTATTGCATTTTCAGGTATCTGCAGGGCATTTTAATAATACTGAGTAATGTTTCTTTTTATTAGTATTTATATTTTAAATACCATGGTTATTTTATTTTTTATTCAATGTCAGAAAAAATGTTGGCAGTCTTACAAAGTACATTAAACAGATTTGATTCTAAATATTACATAAGAAAATTTTAATTTCAAGCATTTTCAAAGGAAAAAAAACAAACAAATAATACATGTAAAAGAAAAGATGTTCTGTGTGTTTAAAGACAATAATCAGTATGTTCGGTATGACTTAAAAATAAGTTAAAATACGTTTTAATAAAAAAAAGTGCTAAAATAATTGGTAAATATCAAGATATAAACAGACAAATTATATCCTTTAACATTTACAGCACTTCAGAACAACAGTTCAATAGTACAGTAGTTTGTTAAGTATGAAGTACTTTATTTACAGTAGTAAATTCGTTTGGAATCAGAAAACTATTCACGGTTCATTATTTTAATCTACTGGTGTAGATCCTGTTGAAATAAAAATAAAATAAAATAAACAGTCAATGTATAACCAGTCTATTTTGCTTGTGAAAGGAACAAAAGCTGGTGTTTAGAAATGCCCGTGTTTCATATCTACACTATAGCTCCATCTTGTGGCTGCAAGTGTAGTATGCTCTTAAAAACAAACCCAAAGAGCCAGGAAGGATCAGATAAGTTTTTTGTGTTCTGCTGAACTGTTAAGGAAGTGGACTATTGTTTGTTGTGGCAATGGAACCAGCTGAGACTGCATTTTTGGATGGGAGTGATAGTGCTCATTTTCCTGTTAACATTGAGCCTGCTGAAACTTCCTTTTGCATTGAGAAATCATGACCTGTGGTTGACAGCACTACAGTGATGAGTCACAAACTGCTCCAAGCTATCACTATAATAGCCTTTGTTTGTAAATGCAGATTCATTAATGAACATAATGAAATGAACTGATTGATGAGTACTGGGGAAAAATTCTTAGATATCAAGGATTTTTTTTTTTAATGATGCTGACTTTTATTTGGGTGAAATGTACTGCTTATTGTATGTATTTATTTCACAAAATGTGGTTTTCTTTTTCTGTAGGCCTATCTGTCAATATGGGCCAACAGCATAAAAAAATTCTAAATAGTGTGTCAAATAGACATAAAAATACGGCACCATCTATTGAATTGTCAAGCCAAAAATAAATAAATTAAAATTTGTGTAATGGATATGATTAAATAAATAAGATACATTTTATCTATATAAAACAGTGTGAGGTTAGGTGCTTTTAAAATGTGAGTGAAATTTATTTTTACATAATTAAGTGAAAGGGCACATTTGTGCTAAAATATTTTAGTAATAGGAGTTTCAGTGGAAATGTTGCGATTAAAAAAAAGTTGCACAAACAAGTAGAGCATGTTTTACCCCATTTCTCAAGAATTAGTGAGCGGGTACTGTAACACATCGTCTGAGTATGTAAAACATGCACATGACTAGAAGGTTATCAGAAAAGAATCAGGAGGTACATACAGAGGAACGCAAGTTTAATCAAATATGCGCTTCAGGATACTCATCCTCGAATGCATACAGATCAGATCACACTAGCGAAACCAATACAAAAACACTTCTTCATGCCTTTATGGTCAGAAAATCACTGGAGTTTCCACTTTAAATACGAAGACAATTTTCAGATCAGATACCCTATTGCTCGTTGTCTTTTCCCCAAAAGCTGTACTTTTAGTACCATGCCAAACGTTACACTTTCACTATACAAAGGCCTGAAGTCAGCATTACAAAAATTGAAAAAGAAAATTACATGGAAAAAAATAACCACAGAAACTTTTGTAATCAATCGACTGTGCATGTGACATTAATGTAGTCTTTGGACAGCTTTAGCACGATGGTCTCTATGAACACGGAATCATCACAGCTCTCCAACACACTGCTTTATTCATCATGTGAACACAGTGTAACAGCATCTGCATCTGTATATATGGACGATGTTTGATCACAGTTGGATAGCAGTGACCTGCATTACACAGGCGTCTTTGACATACAATCATGAACGCGACACATTTCACTCAACGATACAGCCAGTGACGAATCCAGAGTGGCTAGAGCAGATATTTTTGAAGAAAAGAAGTCTGCAAATCCTCAGGAACTTCACTGTAATAATCTTCAATGCACTGAACAGTCCAATAAATAACAGAAAAAGTTAATCAGCAACTCAAATGCAGCTTTTGATAGTTAGTCTCAATCAGCTATACAAACACTTCCTTATTAATATAATGACAATGAGAGATGCTTGTTATTTCTGCCATAGAGAACCAAGTACAAGAGTGACGAGTAGAAAGTTCAATCAATATACATTAAGTTTGAAGTTCTTACATGGCTGTTTGTAACTACATGCATAAAGCAACAAAGAAATGACCAAACTGAAAGGCAAGAATATTTCAAACTCCTAGCTGTGCCACATTAAAAGTCAATACTGATAAATCTCGCATTGACGACATATGCAAAACAAACCGAAAATACAAAAAACGAACACGGACAATAAATCTGGGGCTCTGTGGAAGCAGAGAAGCGAACGTAGGAGAGATGGGATAAATGTTATAAGAATTAGAGACACAAACATGACCCTACTCTACCGCAGAGATGAATAAATATTAAACGTTTTAGACACAATCCATCCCGTTTAGAAAATGCTGCAAAATCTCTTCTCATAAAGGCCTCCAGATCCACCTTTGCATTGTTAGAAAAGTCCTTTCCATTCGTTTTATCTCACACTCGCCGATGCTCTTCAGTTCTGTGTGCTGATAGGAGGAAAACATGTCGTTTGTAGGCCGTTTTAATTAGGACACACTAATTTATCCTGCACCTCTTTGGATGACATTAGAAGATGGAGGCTGAAGTTAGAATATCAAGCACAAAATCAGAGTACATCTTTTAGAGTGCAAAACAGAGGTGCCAAGCACATGGCCCATTCCTCCTGGACTCAAACAGCATGACAGACACACTCATAAAGTTTGCATACACATCGAAACACACACTCATTCATGTTAAATTTCTTTGTCCCTTCCCCAGTAGTGGACATCCCATAAATTTCCTTATTTTTGATCTCTCTCTCTCTTTCCATCTATCTCTTAACATACACACACACATTCCTGTCCCACAGTCTTGACTCCAGGCTTATCTGGTGTAATATACTCTGTAGTAGACGGTTTTAGACCTCCAGAGCGAGTAGGAGTTGTCAAACTTGAGCAAGTATATACCACGGCCAGGATATTGGTGACTCCCAGCGTACACCTCCTCATGACAGTCCCGCCGGTACACCGGCACTATCTCATCCACCTGCGGTTTCCCAACCTCTTTCTTGGCTTTCTCCTCCTCAGACTGGCCTTCACCTGAGAGAAAGAGAACAGGACTTAAATCTACAAATCATATTTACAGAAAACGTAACAACAGAAACTTCATTCAAACAATCTACCTAAACTTTAAATCAATTTAATTTTATATCAAAAGTAGCCTTATGATTTCCACAATTTAAAAATTAATTGATATTAAAATTCTGGCTGTTACCAATAAGCCGGTAATTATTTTCATTTTACGGCCAATATCCAATAAATGGCTGATATTAAAATTCTAAACTATTTTGTCAAAATATATACAAAAATGACAATTTACACTACAAATGAAATTCCTAAGTTATTTTACATTTGAATTCTCTGATGTCTTCGAATCTTCAGGTCAATAGCAGACTCGGATTATATAATTATAATAAAACAAGAATATATTTTACAACTGCAACTAAAATTATTTTTCATATTTCAGTATATTAATTATTTTACTCTACACCAGTAAAACTACAATACTTATGGCTTAATTTCATTTGCAAGAGTTAAACCCTTGTAGTGCTGTCAAACGATTGATCGCGATTAATCGCCTACAAAAAAGTTTTTGTTTTCATAATTTGTTTATACTGTGTATATTTATTATGCATTTATAAATAAACACACATACACAGTATATACTTTGAAAATATTTACATGTCTATATTTATATTCATATAATTTATATTATATATAAATATTAAATATATAATCATAACATTTTTCAAAAATATATACATGCATGTGTGTGTATTTATATATACATAATAAATATACACAGTGCACACATTTTATGTAAACAAAAACTTTTATTTTGGATGTGATTAATCGCGATTCATCGTTTGACAGCACTAAACGCTTGAGCTTTTCTTTTTAAAGAAAACTGATAATTGTGTATATTTATTTGCACTGACATTAAAATTCTGTTTAATACCAATAAATCACTATTTTCATTTTATGACCGATATTAAAATTCTATACAAATTGTTTAAATAAAAACTGTTTTAAATATTACAAGTGAAACATTATAATGTACAGTATGAAAATGAGATTTGAGATTTAAATGTGAGCATTACATGGGAAAAGTAATCTAAATGAAAAAATAGAAGAAATTAAATATCCAGTATTAGCCGATAACATGGTAGCAAAGAATCAACACATTCGTGCCTCACCTTCTTCATCCTCATCTTCGTCACTAGACTCGCTGACATGCACGCTGACCGATGCGTTAGTAGAGTCAGTCCATTCAAAGAAGACTCCAAAGCCAATGTCATAATAGTCACTGGCAAACTCCCAGAAGAGATAGGAGCCCTCCTCGTGGGTGGGAACCCGGACGGTCACCACTTCCCCCCGGCCCACTGTGATCACAGAGTCCACATCCTGACGGATCTTCTCTTTAAAGTCTTTTATCTGTGGCCGGGTCCACATGGAGGGGGCTGCTATTACAGGGGGAGAGTCTGAGAACCAGGAATATGGTATATTAGAGAATGTGTCTTTTTAAATTCAACTCGATTTCACTTGATTTGATTTCAATTAGGGCCGCACAATTAATCTAATTTCTAATCGCCATTACAATTATGGATGCCACAATTACGTAATCGTTCAAAGCGGCAATTAATCGTTCAAAGTCCACTTATGTTATTCTGCGTGCTTAAAATGCGTTTTTTTTTTCTTTCTACATGTTATCTTAAGGGTTTTTCCCATTATTTTAAATTTAGTTTTAGTATAACATTATAATACCATTCATATTTTTACTTTTTTATAATTTAAAGAAGAAACCAATCCGTGTAGCCCTAATTTCAATTCACAACCTCTATATTCAGATCTCGATTTAACTTAATTTGATAGATTAATATGGATATATATCAGGTACAGTAGGCTTTTTTTCTCAATGGGAAACCGAGAGAAAATTTAGTTTGTTTGATTTTAAGTTGACATTAACAGCAGGTAAATGAAGTGGTAGAAATACGCAAACTCACCTGTGGGTCCATTCTCAGTGACCTCGTCTGCAGGCTCCAGGTCCGGCTCTCGTTCTAAGCTGTCAGTAGTGGACTCTGCCTGGCCGTTCAGTGTGGGAGCCTCCTCTCCAGCAGAAGGCGCTGACACCTCACTGGCCCCTAATGTAGACAGCACTATAGCATCCTCCTGCTGTTTCTGCAGGGCAGCCTGGAGAGAACAGTGAAAACATTGGCATCACACAATTGTAACAAAAAAAAAAAAACAGTCCAGAATTATGCTAAATTACATTATAGAACTTGGAAAAACCAGCCTCCTTCTTTGATCAATGATCAATTAAAACACAATTAGTCAAGCTTAGAAGCTCAGATGGAAATTTTTAAGCTGGACCAAGATGTGAATTAAATGAACACGGCAGCACCCAGGGAAATGTACACAGAAATAAAAAATGTATTGCATCAGTGAGTCAAAGTCCATTACATGACAATAAAACCAGTTTTTCTTTCAATGACAGGTGTGTAAAACACATTCAATAATCTACTTGGTTACTGCACACTAGACATAATGCGATATATCACGGTAATGAATATGCACAATATTGTTATCATCACCTGCAAAATCCTACCACTGCAGTTGTGTTCTTTATACCGGTCATTATTAACTGGTGGGTTGCATACCGGTCTGTTCTGAATCTTAATAATAAAATGTGACAATTACATAATGGTGCATAGCAATATGAACAGGCTTATCAACTATGAAAAAGGAGAGGAAAAGCTTTCCATATTGAATAAAGTTGAGCACATATACACTAAGAAATGTTTTTGAAGAAAGTCTCTAACATAGAAGTAAAAACAGTAATATTGCGAAATATCATTTTATAATTATTTAGTTCTACATTTTAATACATTTTAAAATGCAATTTATTCCTGTGATGGGAAAGCTGAATTTTCAGCAGCCATCACTCCAGTCTTCAATGTCACATGATCCTTCAGAAATCATTATAATATTTGATAATTTGCTGCTCAAGAAACATTTCTTATTAAAGGGGTCATATGATGCGATCTCAATTTTTCCTTTTTCTTTGGAGTGTTACAAGCTCTTGGTGCATAAAGAAGATCTGTAAAGTTGCAAACACTAATGAAAAAAGTTGTGGTGCTTAATATTTTGTCAGAAACAGTGATTTTTCAGGATTCTTTGACTATTAGAAGGACAGTATTAATTTGAAATAGAAATAGTAATAGAAAAAGTTTTTACTGTCACTTTAATTCATCCTTGCCTAATAAAATTATTTATTTCTTCTAAAAATAAAAAATTGTAACGGCTCGAAATCTTTTAACAGTATTGTAGTTTTTCAAAAAGTAGTCATGCATCACAAAGGCATTGCAGACATGGGTGAGACTGGGAGAATGAATCATGGGCTCTCACCTGCTGCTGAGCGAGCTGCACCTGATACAGCTGCTGCATGTACTGCTGATAGTGCTGCTCCTGCAGCTGTCGAATGAGGATGAGCTGCTGCTCGGGACTGTCGGGGTACTGCTGCGCTGCATACTGCTGGAACTGCACCGCTGTCTGTGCATTCAATGCAGCCATGATCTGCTGCCTAACACACCAGAGAGAGTGAGAAAAATTCATTGTGCACAATCAAGCATGAGGCTCAACTCACTAGGATTGCATAATGTACCAGTACTAAACAAGTACAAACAACAAGCTTTTTCATCCTTTTTAATTAGATATTCATTAAAAATAATGTGTATGACAGCTGAAATAACCACCCACTATTTCACGTGGTTGAAAAATTATTCTAGGTGGGTCTAAAGACGTTCGCATTTTCACGTGTCATGAGTTTGCAAATTCATTTTAAATTATTGAAAGTGTTGACAGTCCTAGTTTAATTTCATCAGTCATTCAAGGCCATTTATTTGTTGCCCAAGGTATCGATTTAGTATCAAAGAGACTGGCATTTTACCGAAGCCAAAAAAGTTGGTATCGGCCCAACCCTGGGCTCTACTACAAAAGGCTTGAATACACTACATAATTTTAAAAATCTGAACAAATATTAAAACACTAGGCAACATATGCTTGTTGATTTTGTATATGGTTACAGAGAAAAACTGGGCATCATACACTAAACAACTGAGACTCACACACTACCAGGTCGTTCAGAAAAAAACGAAAATATTACCCAACCTATGAGGATAAACCTTGAAATATTATTATGCAATGTTTATTATTACAGACATTCCATATACAAAATATGAAAAGGTCTGATTTTTTATTTCATTTTATAAATGACTTGGTATTAAAAATATCGTATATAATAGACAATATCCACTGACTGGACAGAACCAGTCTGATGCTGAAAAAAAAATATCTGGACAAAAGTCATGTGGCATATTCCAGCCTTGAGTCTTTCAACAGACATTTTCAAACGATCCTGTTTTACTTTAGATCTGGAATAATTCAACAGGTGTCACTCACTTCTGTTGCTCTACACGGAGTCGTTCCTCCTCAACTTGTCTTCTCTCCTCCTCTTCTCTCCTCAGCCTCTCCTCTTCCTCACCTCTGCGTCTCTCCTCCTCCTGCCGCAGTCGCTCACACTCCTCTTCCTCTCTACGCCGCCGTTCCTCTTCCTCCCTCCTTCTCAGGAAAAACAAGACACCATACACAACATAAGAGACATCTGTGAGTTTACGGAGATTGTTCAAGTTTTTATTTATGAAGACCAATTCTTTACTGGAGCCCAAATTTATTTTATGTTGGCATGGTGGACCTCTCTGAAAGTCTGTATCTAAAGAGATCCAATTGGTTAATGGGTAAAACAGTAAATAAGTCTAATTTAAAAGTGTGTGACACTAACAAAGTGAGAAGATAAAATCGATAAAGAAGGAAAAATCAATCATCTTTATCTGCAAGTCTGACCTCTTTCTCTCTTGCTCCTCCTTTTCAATCTTGTGTGACGCGATGAAAGGTGCAAATAAACTGCAACATTTGTTCAACAGCTTTACAAACTCCAGCATAGCCTCATCCTTCTCCATGTTGCCCAAAGATGCCCATTCCTTTCTGAAAAAGTTACAATTGTTATTGCAGATCCCCATCTGTATATCCACAACAAAACCCCTAAACGTCTCAGACTAAAAAAAAAAGAATTCACATTCAAAAAAAGCGTGTACACAACAACAGCTTTATAGTATCTATAGGATAAGTATGAATAGCATTTAAACACTGTATTTACACACACATTATGATATATATGAGCTCAAGGACAACACTTTACTAGAGCTAAAAAATATATATATACATAAAAACTGCTTATGTGACTGCACAGCAAGGTCAAAGATCAAATCAATGCTTACCTGCGGTCATTTCCCAGCACATCGAAGAATCCCACCTCAGGGGAAGCATCTGGGTTGTAAGGCCCCAGCAACACTTGCTTATGGAGGGCTACCAGACGGAGTTTATCCTCATAGGTCGGGTGGAAGGCTTTCCCATCTTTCTCTGAGGGAAAACATTGCAAAAATGTGGATTCAAAATTGCAACAGGCTCTCATTACATTAGAAAAGGGATTTCCAAACTTTTTTGTCAGCCAAACCACTCTGATGCTAAATATTTACTTGACGTAAGCCCTGAATTAGTGGGTTAATGGTCAACGTGATGCACCTTTTTTTTTTAGCAAATGTTTCATTTTGATTGTTTTTGTTCTATAATTATATTATTTCAAAATTATGATTTAATTAATTATTAGTTTTACAGCAACTCACAAAGCCCAGTCCCAGTTTAGAATGCCATCTAATGCAAATTTGCCAGTGTCACTAATGTCAACGCCATGAAAAGATGATCATGATTTTTCTGTAAATTGTGTTGAGTTTTTTTGTGCACATATGCTTTGAACATCACGAACTAGACACATAGGACACATTAATGCTCAGCTGGTATCTGAAACATCTTGACTGGTACATTATTTGTGCATTAATTAGAGAGCAGCAGCACTTAGACTATAGAGCTGATGGACACAAACATATTGTTTAAGAGGGTGTACTAGACTTACGGAAAGGACTAAATATTTTATTGAACAAAATCTACAGTGCTGGTTTTGCTGTCAAAGAGACATACGGAGTACAGCACTAGTGGTTCACAAGTCTATTCTGAATATTTATGCAATCTTTCATATAGAGACACTTTGACTTAAAGTCATCAGTCAGGCACATGACACACACACACAGTGGTGCTGTCACCGGTTGGGGTAGTTCCTCTAGAGGTGCTTAACCCTGAACACTGCGACTGAAGTGAACTACAAGACCTGTATAAGCAGAACTTTTCACCAAACACCGATAAGTGAAAAAGACAGGACTCTAATAAGAAAACAGCGACCTAACTAAATCGAAACAACACTGCAAGATCAATCTGTAACATAGAGATGACAATGCTAAAGCATGTTTGTGTTCAGTCAATGTCTGTACGTGTGAATAGTGACATAAAATACCTTTAAAGAATCTGAGCGCCAGCCCGTAGAGCTCGACTAAAGAAAAGCCCCATTTCCTCTCGATCGTAGCGCTGCTAACAGGTTCGCCCTCCTCCCCACCGCCGCTCAGCTCAGGGTTTCCAGCGCTCTGGCCAGCGGACACCTCGGCCTGCTCCTGTTCGCCCTCGGAATCCGGGCTCAAAGTCAAACCGTCGATAGAAACTTCGAGCCGGCTTGAATTTGCACTGTTGAGGTCGCCGCTCTGAACCTCTGTCGCCATCGTGCAGAATATCAGCTGAAGCAGCCACGTACCTACTTCCGTCCTGCTCCGCCGGAACTTCCGGCAGCATGACGTAGAAATGTTCGACTACAAGAGCTTCCAAAACCTTAAAATATGATTATGCACTGTTTATTATGACAGAAGTTCCATATACAAAATATGAAAAGGTCTCATTCAAACAGATTTTTATTTTATTTTATAAATAACTTGGACTTAACAATATCGAAAAAGATAAAGAAACAGTATCGTAGTGTTTTACATAAAAGTGAAAGCTGATCGAGCATGTAATATTTATATATAAATTATTTTATATATTTTTTTTACTATTTGCATAATTTAATAAATTATATTTGGGCAAGTTTTCGATGTATACTATAAATTACGAAAAAATAATAAATGTTTAATAATGTTTAATGGCTGTACTTTAATAATGTTGGAAATTACAAACACGTACACAAGTAATTTGACAACTATCTGTGCCACTAACGAAAAGACAAAATACACAAAAATGATATTATAAAAATAAAAATTGTGTAGATTTTATCTTATTTTTATTTTAATGAAGAACATCATGTACAGCAGTTTAATGACAAGATGAAGGCCAGGGTACATAAAATTGTACCAAATACCATAGATACTACAGTTATTGTGACTACAATAAAACGTTGTTCGGTAGCCTATTATAAAACATACTATTTTTATAATTTTTTTTCCAGTAGTAGTAATAACTGTATTAACAAATTAACTGGTATTTTGGTAGTATCTGTGGTGTTATGGTTATTTTTATAAGGGTAGTTACAAGTGCAGTTTCTAATGTCAGATGCTATGACAGCTGTTTGTGTACTGCATGTAAAGCTCACTGAAAAGAACCGGTGAACATAATCATGTTCTCACAAACCTACGTCAATCTTAAATAGTATAAACCACTGATTTGTCCTTTAATGATGATATTTACTTGGTATAAAAGTTCTTTATTTTATTTTAAGCAACTGCTAATACATTTGCTCATGTAGAGGCCTACTGCATTTCTCCAACACATGAGTGTAGTTACAATGCCTCTCCAGCAGAGGGAGAAATATAGATAGATATATAGTTAATTTTGTATCTATTCAGTGACAGCGAAATGAGAGGGGAACACTTGCTATGCTATTAAAATAATGTATTATATCTTAATACAGGGCTCTACAGTGCGACCATTTCATTGTCTGACTATAACACTATTGTCTGATTTTGCTCTATTTCGTCGTCGAAAATAGTTTAAAACAAAGACACAGCGGAGTCGCTGCTCGTCTCCATTCAAACACAGCGGTGTTTCGAATGAACGTTTTTTTTTAAACGAATCTAGTGAGTCAGTGATTCATTATTACCCATTCATAAATACAGTCACTTCATTCATTTTTGAATGAATCAGCCGTTCGAATGAATCAATTGAATGAATGATTCAGTAATAAAAATCAGTGACTTACTGCCACCTGCTGGCAGTTTGTTTCATTTTCCACCTCTACGAACTATTTTTGTTAATACTGATTTCATTTGATTGGTAACTTATATTTCTTATTCTACTTGTTCTTATTCTGTCGTTTTAATTACAATTTTTAAAAAACTTATAAAATATATATTTTTTAAGAATTTGACAGAAGATGACATACTTTTAATAAAGTTAGAGGAGTCAAATATCACCTCGTAATGGGAAGGCTACTTTTTGATAAAATTTTGGATAATTGTTTAGAAGGTGCTCCTAAAATTTTGAACGTGCTCCTAAATTTTTTAAGTTAAAAGAAAAGTAAGCGTAGAGCCCTGTAATATATTAAACATATTATATAGTACAATACATACTATATTATTTTTATAATGAATTAAATATTGAAGAAAAATATATTTAGTAAAAATTGCACTCCAATCAGCCTATTCCTTTTAGTTAATCAAAAATGTTTATGATTAAATCCAGGTGGTTACTGAAAAAAGCATAATGTTATTACTTTCTTCATCTAGGACTCTTCTTCATCTAGGACTCGAAATGAACCAACTAGTGATGCTGCTCTTCACACAAAACTGTTGTTTTTGTAAACTCCATGATCAGATATAAATAAAACTCCATAGACTCCATAATCACCTTCCTATCAAAGTCCAATATATACAGCAAGACAACCTTTCAGCAAGACAACCTACATCAGAACCTTGATACTGCTGTGTCAGTGGTGACTGATGTTCAGTGAGATCACCAATAAAATGTTCAAATAAATTTGAAATTATAACAATCACGTCAAAAATATAAACTTTGATTTAGGGAGAAAAACAACCTAGAAATATGTAAAGAAATTGTTAACCTGTAACCGTACACTTGAAAAAAAAAAAAAAAAACCTGTAACCTGTGATCTTGACCTCTGTAGATCAACCTCATGAGCTACCAACCAAACAAAAAACAAAAACAAAAACGGAAGTATGAACATTTCAAAAAGTCAAAATTTTAACTCCAAACCAAGTTCATAAGTATAAGTTGTTGAAATCAAATCAGCAATTAACATTAAGCAGACATGACACAGTGGCGGCTCGTCGGGGGAGGCAGGGGAGGCACAGCTTCCCCATGATTTTGAGGTGAAAATGGGAGGAGGACGATTTAATGTTAATACAATTCACAACTCATTTCAGTTCATGTCTCAGAATGTGTATATTTTGTTTGTAATTTCACAGACGTGATATTAGTTTGAACGTCTGCCGCTGCACTGATAATGTACTAAGTACTTATGATGAGTAGCGATATTGAATATTTGATTGCCAACAGATTTACCAAGCTGTCATTCAAACAGTATATATACAGATTTAAAAAGAAAGGGAAAACAGCCTAAGCTGGATATAGGCTGCAGCAGTCGGCTTAATTAAATGGCGCAACAGGCAGCTCTCTTTTTATCACAGACTTTTAAGAAGGGATGGATGTTTGCTTTAAGTGATAGGCCAGGTAAGTGAAATTATATTATCTTGCTGTATGTGTGTCGTTTTCTTTACGTTTTCTGACTAAAAGCAACCAAAAAGCTAATTTAAAGTGGTTAAGCAAATAATAATAATAACAATTACAATAGGGTTTCAGCACTACGTGCTTGAACCCCTAATAATCGGCAGGGATCCCAGACCAATACAAGTAAGTCTCTATTCATTTTATCATCTGACCCAAATGACAGTTTTGTACTACTAGCAACTTTGAACCCACGGTCCCGGCAGGGCGCCGGGCCTGCAGGGTACCCGTCGGGGGCGGCTGCGTCGGGGCGGGGTCGCCGAAGGGACGTCTCGTGTAATGATCCTTCCATTCGCGCCCTCGTTTTGTTACGATATTTTTTTTCTTTCCGTGGGCGGAGGCCTCCGCACCCCGTCTCAGAGAGACCTCTCGCCTTTGCCGGGCTGACACAATAATGATCCTTCCGCAGGTTCACCTACGGAAACCTTGTTACGACTTTTACTTCCTCCCGATAGTCAAGTTTGATCGTCTTCTCGGCGCTCCGCCAGGGCCCGCGAGGAGCCCCGGCGGGGCCGATCCGAGGACCTCACTAAACCCTCCAATCGGTAGTAGCAACGGGCGGTGTGTACTATTTTGTCCAGCTGCTGGCTTTTTATACATTTTCCTGCATTGCATCAAGTGATGTCACTATTGCTACGTCATAATAGCACATTCCATTTGCATTCCAGAATGGAGCGTTCAAATGATGCTGCACATGTACTTAATTCCGTTAAATACAAGTGAATGACTGAATCAATTAACTACTTAAAAAAAAAAAGATGCCTTCAAGTTATCTCCCACATGGGGGTCAAATAATAATCCAATAATCTCTTTTCCTTCATGGGCATTTCGAACCAGAAGCAGCTGTAAAGCAAAGCTAAGTTAAGCAGCTCCTTCTGTAGCTTCTTGGACTAGACAGCGATTCGTACGGTGGCCGAGAAGTGCAAAGCAAATCACAATTCTGAAAACAAAATAACAAATTACAAACGCAAATGCAAGTCTAAAAAACAAAATAACAATTCAGAAAGCACAACAACAATTCAGAAAACATTATAACAAGTCAGAAAACTTGTGAATTGTGATTTGCTTTGCACTTCTCGGTCACAGTGGATTCGACTTAACATTCATTAATGCTCAACGGAATCAATGCTTTGATATTCATCTGAACCGTTTCAATTACCTACAGGCAGAGGCGTACCTGGGGACCCCAGGCAAAATTAATCAGTGAGGCCCTTCTAAAAGATTGTTTTTGTTTTTTTGTTAATGTATCTTTGTTGCCTAGTGACATAATTATACAGCATATGAAATGCGGACAAAACACATCTAACAGTATATAATGCACAAAACAGAACACGCGCTCTCTCTCACTCGGATGTGCACGCTCAAACCTGTGCACTCAAATCTATAAAATTGTCTTCTCTCCTGAAATAAATGTTGCCAGAAGCCCATCAACCACCAGACTTCCATGACTGACTGATGAAATAACAGAGTACGTACCAATTACGGATCCATCTTTGTTAGCATTTTCAAGCTGATTTTGGTCAGTGAATTCTCGTTATTTATTTTATTATTTAGCCTAATAGTTATTTGAATTAAGTGCCTATTCTAAATAGGTATTTATTGAATTATTTTATGTATATCAGCAAGTGAACGAGTTGCGGCAAAGCTCATTAAAAGAATGCTTTGTTTAGTTGTGTATTTGTAGTCTGTGCGTTTCTCTTCGCGAGACACAGAATAATATATTTTGTGTAGCCTAATGAATTCAAGCACAATATCGAACGGAGAAAAAATATGTATAATTTTTATTTAATTAGGCTGTAAAAATGGGAATGTTAAAATATTGCAGGCACAGTTGTTGCACAACCTAGCCCGTTATCATTTGCTCATGGAAACAATGATAAATAAAATGTTTTATATTTGGTTTGGAGTGGAACAGAGTGTGGGCAGAAACATAAATAGGTGCCTATGCTTACCCGATGCTTAAACAGGCCCGATGGGCCCCGACTTTTTTACGCCCCTTCGGGCCGGGCTTCGGGCCAATTTTTACGTCACAGTTCAGACGCGGGCCGGGTCTCGGGCCTGTT